CGCTGGTGTAGCAGATAATTCGATGCACCTATCGATGTTAATAAACAACGCAGTGATGGGCAGCTGTTTTTTATTTTATGTTAGCCGATATTTTTATTAACAGTTTTTCGAATGAATTTTATAAGTTCTGTGTTGCACGAAATTGTCGCTAGTGCGCATCGCAGAACTTTGCTGTTTTAATTGTTTTATTTATGAAACGCGATGTAGTTTTGACTTAATAAAGAATTTTCAATTAAAATGGAAGTTCCAAAACATTGAAGTGTTTGGTAATATCGTAAAAATATTAAATCTCCTGAATGAATATTCATAGCAATTTATTAACATGTTAGATGCAGCAATTTTCCTTTAAAAATCAAATATGCCATTTCAATACATCTTACACAGCACTACTAAAATATTCGATCTCACAGCTACCGTTGCATAATGGTCCATAATTATAAATGGAGTTGCTCTTTTGCCGGTAAACCGCAGAAGCAATTTCTGAAATAATTATCGTATACGGAAGCGAGGCAAGTTTCGGATATCCGATAGAATGCTGTTATATAAGTGTTACATCACTAGCAAATGAGAATAACCTTTATGTTAAGACTTCATTAATATAATCGAGAATTTACTGTAGTATCAACTTTCATTGTCTCATTTGTACTACGTCGTAGACGTTTTGCTACGGCGTAGCGGCGTAGTTGGTGCTACGTCGTTTGTAGGTTTAGGTGTAATACCATATTCACTTTACAGTATTATTAGGCTTTCATTTTATTGGAACTAAGAGGTAATGGGTTATCAAGTTATTGTTCAAGCTATTACAACTTAAGTAAGATTTTATAAAAGGTAATGAAATATTTGTTGTTCATTCTTTTGTATACGGACGATTAATTTTTTTTGTGTGTTGATGAATTGATAAGTTTCATTGAGTATATTATGTACTGTTTATTCTTCCGAATTGTTTATTATTAATTTTTACACTATTGTTTACTCTCCTGAATGAATGTTCATAGCATTATTTGATAATACTGTAAATTTAATGAAGAAAAGAATGTGACCTTGCTTAAACTAAATTTTACTTATTTATATTACTTTTAAACTCTGAACTTAATTACAATTACGTCTTCAAATCAGAAAACAAATAATTGGTCACAATCAATAATACTTTTGTCAGAAGAAAAACTGGAAATAACACAAATTGGCTTCGTATGTAAGTCACGGAGGAAAGTTTTAGTCGTTTTAACAAGATTTAGAACAAGTACAGACATGTCTACTCCTTTATAAGTAGATTTAAACTTTTAAGGGGTACAATTAGGCTCAACGATGTCAGTTGGAAAAGTTTAGTTGAAAAAAGACTTTTAGTAGTCTAGATTTTTATTTCTTCTTTTATTCTTACCTCTTAATAGTCCCATTTTAGGCATCATAGCGTTCCCGCGGGGAAAAACGTAGTCTATTTATTATTTCAGATCATAATCTACCTTTATGTGTCGTAGTGGCCCGGAGGTTGAAGACGCCTGCTTCTCATGCACGAGGGTGCGGGTGAAAAACCTACCAATGGCAAATACCAATGTGACTTTACCCGAGTTATATGAACTTTCTAAGATTATTTAGATACCACTGATAAACGGTGAAGGAAAACATCGTGAGAAAACGTGGTGGAAAATTTCTAATTATAACTAATTATAAGTTTTAAATCGCCAACCCGTATTGAGCAAGCGTGGTGATTAATGCTAACCTTCTCCATGTGAGAAGAGACTATGCTCAGCAGTGGGCAATTATAAGCTGTTGATGATGATGGTGAATCCCAATCCCAATGATTGACTAACAAAAATATAAACAAAATACAAACGTCCAAGCCCTTGCATTAACGAGTACTAAGATAGCAATAGTTGTCGTTCAACGCGGAAGATTAAGGGGAGGGCCTTCGTTCAACAGTGAACGTCTTTTGGCTGATGATAATGAAGGTAAGCTAAGACACCAGACAGCAGCGTTTTTTGGAAAACGTACTCCTTTTTGTCAGTGATCTCCAACCTACTGGCAAAGCATGAAGATTATGGCAATCCCTTTTTTTGAAGAGACGGTCCATAGCCTAGTAGTGGACTCTAGCGAGCTGTTGACGATGACGGTACACCAAACAAAACACATTAATTTCACAATAAAATACAACTAATTAATTCACAACGATAACGTGAGTACTGAAGGCCTAACTTTACAAGGCCTATCAGGGGTGATATATGCAAGTCATCAGGGCAATGACAACAAAAATCTTCACGCTGACACCCTGAACATGGTAAACAGACATAATTGAATGTCATTTATCACCACGATAATATATCAACAGGATGAAATGTGGCGGAATAAAAAGCTAATGTTTTGTACAGTCGGGAACAAAAGTATTTAGTACCATTTCAAGTAGGGATCTTTGGCAAAATTTTATTGGATTTTGAGTTATAAATAATGATATTTCCACCTTAAAGAAGAAGATAAAGAAACTTGCTTGTTTACAACCTATATTTGAACCTATATTCTTCTCTAATATCTATCTTCTAAATTCTATCTTTACACTAATATTATAAGTATGTTTGTGAGTCTCACATCTATCACGTTTTCACAACGGGTACGTTTTAATAGTACGTACCATTAATTTTATGCCTAGAGACAGCTAGTAAAACAGTGATATAGACTACTTGTCATTATGTGTGTGTAACTCTGTTAATATTTAAATATTTTTGCACCAACCATACAACCTTGACATGAATTCATTACAGCCGTGTGCTTCATTTTTTGGGGGCAAATATTCTTTGTTTGTTTTTAATTAAGAACCCTGTCAAATGCTATCCAGGACCCCCAACTCGTTTCACCCCTCTCGGGGGCTGAGTTTAATAAATCATGGTTCAGTGGCTCGGTTACTTTACATTATGGTAGCATTATTTTGTAGCCTTGAGACTGATAGGTTGAGCCTAACTTGGCCTCAATTTTGTTTAAAAATTCTATTGTATTTTGTTATACCTACCTACCTAAGTGTGAAAGTTTTAGTGCGTAGTTGTATTTTTGTGATAGTACTAGTGAGTAGATTAGCCGTAATTTGTTTGGTATTGTAGTGTTACTTTGTATATTAACTGCCCATTTTGACCAGTGAAGAATTCGTAACAGCTATACCAAAAAGTTGTTATTCGATAAAATTATGATAGCAAACACGTCACTGCGTTTTACTATTAAAATGGTAAAAATATATAATAGGGATGATGACAGGGTATTAAAAATAAAAATCTAATTAGTACGTCTGTTAGATAATGAAAAAATATTAGACACGTATTTTTTTATTTTGTCGCATGTAAACAATACTTAGATAAAACGAATCAAAGTTTAGGAGTGGGAGGTAGCTACGTCATTTTAGAGTATAAATCATACTCAAAAGTGACGTTATGCGATATTTCAAATCAATATATCTCCGAAACTGTTCGTTTCCATAAGAAAATAAAAAATAAGTGTCTATAACAACATAACATAACATCACGCCATTTATCCCCGAAGGGATAGGCAGAAGTGCACATTATGCCACTGTGCAATGTACATACCACCCATTTTTGACTATTTATGTTATGAGTCCCATGTAATAGAGGGTGAGCCTATTGCCATATACCGGGCACAATTCCAGACTCCGTGCCACTACTGAGTGAAAATACTTACGTGTCTAATATTTTAAAATAATATAATACACGGACAAAATAAAATGAAAATTAGTCATCTACCCTATATCTATACGTCAAATTGATAGAAGAACCTTATCATAATCCTAATCACATCAACCATAACTCCCAGTATCTCAGCAACAAAGGCCATTCTGGATCCAAATAAGCATCTATCATGAGTACAGTTCATCTTACTCTCATTATAGTTTACGATCCGTCAGCTGGTCTTTTTAGCCGAGAATGATATCGTATAGTCCATTTTTATTCAACCTAGTTTCACGCAGAGTCGAGTTTTAAGAGAATCGTCTGAATATTTTGTACTAATTAGGTTTTCTTAAGTTAGAGATGTGGTAGAATAGTATGAATCATATTTGTTTCAGTGTTACTATCATGTTTATTTGGAGATGTTATTCCAGGCTCGTTGGCTGAGTCGTTACAAGTGCGACTGCTGGTCAAGGGGTATCGGGTTCGATTCCCAGGTCGGGCTAATTATTAAAAAAATTCTAAGTAGTAGCACGGACTCTGGAATTGTGTCTGGTATATGGCAATAGGCTCACCCCTTATTACATGGGACTCATAAAATAAATAGTGAAAAGTAAGTATTACACAGTACAGTGGTATTAAGTGCCATAATAAGCACCTCTGCCTCCCTTAGGGGATAAAAGGCGTGATGTTATGATGATGATGATGATATTCCTCGAAGACGAAGCTCTAAAAGCCATTATTTTGTGTAAACTAATCTGATGTGATCATCACTTATTTATAAATAGGTAATGGTCGCCCCAGGTCTAGTTTATAATGATTTTAGAACACAAGAGAGTTGAAGTTAACATTCACAAAACGTGTTGATATTTATACGACACGAATAGTGTTACCTGGCAATGAGCCCGTGTATCTCCAAGCGGTCACCGGTGACCTTTCTCCACTAACTACATTATAGACCTTATTTCCAATGCTTAGAGACTACTTTTGTATGAAAAAATTTAGGGGATGATTTTCAAAAATTTTCGAGGCCCAAATGTCTGCGACTAGATTATTCAATCAAGTATCATCTACCGCTAAAGACAAGGAATGTCACCGGCAGATAACAGTTATATAAACGCGATATTCTAAAAGAAAAATTGCACGGTTGGTGCGGTGCTTGGGCAACCGGCTTCCGCACAATGTGATACGGGTTCGATTCCCGCACGCAGCAACTCTTTGTGTGATCCACAAACTGTTGTTTCGGGTCTGGGTGTCATGTGTATGTGAACTTGTATGTTTGTAAACTCACACCACGATACAGGAGAAAATCCTAGTGTGGTGCAACAAAACAATAATACTCACTTTAACTCCGGCTTCTTAGGCAGTTCAGCATTGTCTTCTGTCTTCTTCTCGTCTTTATTAGTAGGAGAAGCTGGTGGAGTGTGTTCTTTCTCAGCATCTATGTTGGACGGGGCGTACCCTGAGTCGTTGTTCGTGTTGGGGTCCATCATTGGGATGGGAGACGCCAGGTTCGCCATTATTCTGTGGGCGAAAATTATTATTAGTTTTTATTTTGTAGGTTTAAAGTTACCAATGATAGTGTCGTTTACAAATTCATTTTTTAAAGTCAACTATGCACTTCTGTTCGGTACGATATCCGAGTTATATCAAGTAGATAGCACTTACTGAAATAAATTAGGTTATAGGTTACATATATTATTTATTATTAAATTCTTTGAAAACTTTTATTCTGCGTCGACTACAACAACGTTGTCCCAAGTTATAACATACTGAGTTCAGACTCAGGGACTCATGTAAGGCTCAGACCTTACCTCAATTTTTCAAAGAAACGAATCAGGTTTTTTTAAGTACAATTTACTCTTAACTCTCGGCAGATGACAGAGAAAACATTTTCGAACATCACTATTACAGAATCAAATGTCCAAAGTCCAACAAACATTAGTCGACTTAACCCCGTCCAGTCTGGACAAAAGCCCCACAAATCAAGCTGAAACCAGTTCACACTGGATTTCACTATCAACAGGAGTACTGATTAATGGTGTTGTTTGTTTCCTACTCTGTGAGAGACTGTATGTATGTTTGTATGTATTTCCTTAGTAAATGCATGCTAAGTTCCTTTGAAAAACCTTGTTTATTAGCACTCATTTGTATCTTGTTGTTTGGAACCTATTATATGCAACTAGTATGACATCTAAATTTCGATATATAAGTTAAGCTAAATACATATTTTAGGTCCTACTTGCAATTGTGTAAATTTTTTAGGAAATAAACTCCTATTACCTTTGTACTTTACGTAATACGTGTAAAGTACTCCTAAACCCCTAAATGTATAATTCTCAATAGGGCTGATGCCGATACTGAGCCACAGACTACATAACGGGTAACCGGGGCTCCGGCTCGAAGTGCAGGAGTAGGGACGGGGTGTTTTTTAGTCAGTAAGAGTCTGACACTACGTCTCGCCTTACCCGGGCGGGAGAAGTCATTAAATGATTTTTCCCCCTCAAAAACACCCCTATTATTTTACCTTTTAGAAGCTGAATGCTTTTTTTATCTCCTTAGGTAACTATTATAGATACTGGTACTGGTTGTATCCGTTCATCATCAAAATTATCGCATTGTTCATCTGTAACTAGACAAACGCACTAGTCTCTCTCTCATTGTCACCTTTGAGAAGGATAACAAAACCTTCTGCGAATAAAGGCAACTACGAATCGATAGTGATATTACCCGATCATTGGCACTAACAATAATATAACTATACTCGAGTTTATTTTCTAGCGTAACTATAAAATTATATCACAATCATCTACTATTTTTCCAAAATTGCTTCTAAGCAGATGTAAGCTGTATCTTTTAAAGAAAAATAGGAGCGTCTTATTTCACAATATTTTTTAAATATGTATTAAAAATATAAAATTGAGATGTCAAGAAAAGTATTTCAGTTCAAGCCCATGGGGTCGAAACCTTGATAGCCACCCTTGTTGTAGTTCCGACAACGTCGAAGTTTTGGTAATATTATAAGATATTGATTCTATTATCATAAAATAAGCACAGATTAAGACACAGTACACTTACCTACAGATAATTTCTTATTATTAAATAAAATCGTTTCTTATATAGCCTATGCTATGATCAATATGATGCAATGATCAAGGTTTCGTGTCAGGGGACTTTGGGCACATGACAAATTGTCTTTAATAAGTTAATTTGTTGAATGTTAATTGCATAAATTGTATTTTCTCTTTACTCTTTTAACTACCATTAAATGGTTTTTGTATAAGGTATTAATCCTCGTTCGAAGATCAAACCTGACACCTACAGATAGATAAACAGGCATCCTGACTACTTCTCCATTCAACAAAATAGAAAGCACCTGTTTAAATACACATTTATTAAATAGAAACTCCACGCGTAATGGGTTCCAATTGCAATATGTCGGTAATTTTACAAAGCCAACGAGTCTCAGAACGGGTGCACTCAATATTCTCTCAACCTTTTCAAATAATTCAGAATTTTCTTTCAGAAATGTTGAACGAAAACGTATTGCAGGTTAATTTGGAGCTGAAAGCTCAATTTCAGGTTATTGAGTAGCTAATGCTGTAATAAATAAGAAGATTGTCCAAATAGAAAAGGCTATTTCGATATTTGTGGTCTTACTAGACTAAAGGAGGGTTTTAATAAAATGTTTGGTCTATTTTCTTTAATATTCTCTTATTGATCTTTTGTTTTGTTATCACTCTAATATAAAAATAATGTAAAAGATTCTTTCTTTATATGTTTGGGTGTTTATCCGTCAATCACGCTGAAACTACAGAACGGATTTTGATGAAATTTTGTATACTGTCAGGGTATGGGCTCACGTAGGTGACAGGTTACTTTTTATCCTGATTAAATGCTCCTATGGGATAAAACAGGAATGATTTTCTATGCAGACGAAGTTGCGGGCAACAGCTAGTTAGCTACAATCAAAGTTAGTGAGAAAACAAGGGAAACATGTTTAGGCAAAGTTAATAAATTGTGATAGGCCTTGCCCATCTTAAATGAAAGTAATAATAATTATTTGTTCCTGTTTTGCGTTTAAATCTCTGAACTATTTTTGCTTGAATTACATTTATTATTGTTTAATCTGGTGCTATTTTGTAGAAAAGTCTACTTTAAACTGTTAAACTCAAGATTCAAAATTGTACTTACAACCCGGTCTCCTCCACCACAGCAGCCAGCATGAACCTGGCTGACCTTGTGTTCACCAGCTCCTCCGCGTATGCTCCCATCTCTGACTTCGCGAAGCTGTAAGAAAGGGGCAGCAATATAGCTAGAATTTTAGAACGTTCATGAAAGACTTGGAACTTAGTCACATTGGTATTTTAGAATGTCCAGACGCCGACATATCAACCTATACAAAGCCAGTTTGTATGATCTTTCCGTGTTTTCTACGATCAGTTTATACTGCTTTTCATAGTTTGATGTTCGTGTTTGTCAGTATCATCATATCAGCTATAAGACATACTCTGCTAGACAGACATAGGCTTCCCCCAACGACTTTCAGATAGGCCGGTTGGAAACGACCTGCATCCAGCGGCTCCCTGCGACCTTAATGAGGTCGTCTGTCCACCTTACGGATGGACGTCCTACGCTGCGCTTGTCAATGTGTGTAGTTGTGTTCATAATTTTAATCGCGTTTATGATTTGGAGATACTAAAGTAAAATATTAAGCTCAGTAGCATATAGTAGGCTTATTAGGACGGGAAAGGGTTGTTAACACAAATCCCAATAAATCTTTTCACGGATTTAACACAGACCTTTATGGATTTGCAATCATTTGGCAGATAAAAAATTACCCAATATAATTAACATTTGAGTACATTTTTCTTTATAGCAAAAAGTTTATGTGTAAGTACATACGTATAATATTGATAATCGTGCATAAAGATTCCCTTTCCTTTACTCGTAAACAAGTCTTTATTAAAGCGAAATGTTTATAGTCCTGTTTACCTACTTAATTCCAAGTTGCTCGGCTTTAAGTACACTCGAGATTTAATGTTAAAGCTTTTGGCAAAGGAAATATCTTATACATACCTATAGTATATAGTATATAAGTATTGAAAATCGTTGAAGTGGATACTTGTGATTGGCTCTGCCATTTATACGTTAGATTTTCAATATTTTAGAATGTTTGTGAAATGGTTAATGAAGTGGATGGGAATGAAAATACTGTAAATAAGGTTACTTAGTACTACTACTGCTTCTATTAATATTAGTAGTTTCTTGATGAAAGAGAAGATATATGAAGCTAAAAACTGTACGGAACATTGCAAGTGAACTGTATTTATCTTTAAATCAGTTTGTCTTTAGTTATCAGTTGGTTTAAGAATGATTCGTAATACTATATTCACCACTTCGGATTTCGAACTTCTATTTTCTAGGGACACAACATTATGTGCCTTTCATTGTCATTACAGTAGTGTCACGGAGCCGCGAAGAACCTAACGGGTTACCGGGGCTCCGGCTTGAAGTGCAGGAGTAGGAACGGGGTGGTTTTTAGTCAATAAGAGTCTGACACTCCCTCCCGCCTAACCTAGGCGAGAGAAGTCATTCGATGATTTTCCTCCTCAAAAAAGTCCTAGGTCTCTACGAATGATACAACCAGTTGCAAGCGACCTGCATCCTCATTTCTATGATCAATTACCACTTGCTTGACTATGAACCCCTAGCGTGGCTTGACACTAGTCGAGATAACTACCTCTTCTAACAATTACTTCCATTACATACTTATCATCATCTTCATCTTCATTGCTCCCTGACGCGGTGTTAGTGGGCGCGTCGTTCATGGACCCGTCCAGCCGATGCGTCTGTGCCACGTTCTCTATCACTACCGCCGCGGTACCGCTCGACACCGCGGAACTTATCGCCGCTGACGTCTTCTTTGCTATTCGCTGCTTTTTCGCTCTCTGTCGTATTGCCTGTAGATATATAGATGATTTAGGAAATGGGTAGTGTTTGTCAGCGACTTTTACATTTTTTCTAAATTATTTTTGTAGAAGTAAAAGTATTACGGGTTAGACTTCTATCCTAAATTAATCTTCGCACATGAGCACAGTGAATACCTACACTGTAGTGTATTTTTATGAATGTCATAATTACAATTTTGTAATAATTTTTTAACTACCAAGCATATATTTAGTATTCTTATTTTAAGAAGACTATGAAAATAATGGTGTTATTTTATATCCAATTGTAACTCAAGTAATATTTAAATGGCGACTAGACTAATCTACACAGGACAAAAATAGTAAGTCTACCAAACTACAACTTACCTTAAAAATATTATAATACAAAAACATCATAATGATGCAGGGGATATAGAAGGAGCCCAGGGACGAGTATATAACATAGTCCTTGTTGTTGAATAGACAGTCGCCAGGACGCCTGTCTACCGTGTTGTTGAGCCCCAGCACGATCGGCGAGCCAATAGCACCAGACACCAGCCACGCTACGCCAATCATCGACCAGACGCGTGCGTTGCTTTTGTGCTTCGCGTATTTGATTGGCTGTGTTACTGCTATGTACCTGGTGAAGAAAGAATTATATTTTATGTAGTTATTTGCCTTTTTTCTAAAGTTTATTAGGATGGTCGGTACATAACATTTGTGGTAAAAAACATTAAGGAGTACAATTCGCATAAATAGGAACAGATTGAGATAAGTAATAACAAGATATGTACGTAAGCAGTATGTTTTTATTATTGTGTAAAAATAACCTGGTTGATGCTGTCACTTTATAGTCAGTAGTAATACTAACTGACTGCCTCGTTGGCCGAGTGGTCGCAAGCACTACTGTCGGGTAAGAGGTCTCGAGCTCGATTCCCGGGTCGGGCAAAGTATTACTATGTTTTTAAAAATTCTCAGTAGTAGCATGAAGTCTGGAATTGTGCCTGGTATATTGCAATATGCTCACCCCCTATTACATTGGACTCATAACATAAACAGTGAAAAGTGGGTGTTACATTGTACAGTGGCATAATGTGCACCTCTGCCTACCCCTTCGGGGATAAAAACCGTGATGTTGTGTATATGTATGTAATACTAACTGTTACACTCACATCTAGAATATTTTAAACATGTAAAAGTGTTACTTTATGCTTATTTACAAAGAAATATTCAATATTTCATTTCATTATTCCTTAGACAACTTAGAATTTCATGCTTAGACATCATGTTTTAAAATTAAACCAACTTCATTCACTGATCCACATACGTTAAGTTTACGACCAAAACACAACATACCTACACAAATTAGTTAATCACTTTAACGACGGTCAAAACAACTCAGCTCACCCAAGTTCCCATATAACCGTAAAGTTACTGAGAAAACACCACTTAACCTGTCTTGCTTAGATAACTTCAACTTCAAGTAATTACCATGTTGTCCTGGTTAAGGTGCACAGGATCCTTTTGAGGGCAACCATTTTAATTACGGTCAGGTATACTTCAGTTTTGGCTATGTACTACAATTTTAAGTTACTTTTGAGACACATACATAACATAACATCACGCCTTCTATCCCCGGAGGGGTAGGCAGAGGTGCACACAGAAGTAACACCCACTTTTCACTATTTATTTATTTATTTCGAAAATTTACATATATAACACTACAGCTATAGTTGTATATAGTTATATTTTATGTTATGAGTCCCATGTAATAGGGCCATATACCGGGCATTATATAATTATGTTATAGTTATATAATGTATAGTTATGTAGATATACTTTATGTTATGAGTCCCATGTAATAGGGTTGAGCCTATTGCCATATACCGGACACATTTCCAGACTCCCTGCTACCACTGAGATTTTTTTAAACCCAGTAATACTTTGCCCGACCCGGGAATCGAACCCGAAACTCCTTGCCCGGTAGTCGAAATTGCGATCACTCGGCCATCGAAGCAGTCTTTTGAGACACTTTTGAGGCACGCTTTTCTTATTTTAAAGTGTAAATTGTGGTGCCTGTATAAATTTATCATAACTTTTGCATCTCTGTTTCTTTTCCATCACTTAACTTTTAATGTTTGCGTGTATATTGTTGACTAGCTACTGCCAACGGCTTTGCCCAGTGTTGTGCCCAGGATATTAACATATAATCGTACCAAGTTTCATTGTAATCCAACCAGTAGTTTTTGCGTAATGCGTTAACATACAAACAGACAGACAAAAATTGTTTTAAACACATATTTGGATTCGGCGTCTAAGGCACCCCCACTAACAACCCCCACTGTTTATTTTTTTATTATTTTGAATGTACAGAATTAACACTTCTACACTTTAATATTATATTATTAAACAAAAAAAAAATATATAATAATATTTGCTGTTTTTTGTTTTATAATATTTGCTGGTTAATGAAAACTTATTTCTTTGTGTAAGTTTCAGCGGATCTTACACGTCATATAATTCCAGTAAATATGTAAATTGATTGCCTCGTTGGTTTAATTTTTTTTTATGGAATAAGAGGCAAACGAGCTGACGGATCACCTGATGGTAAGCGATCAGCGCCGCCCATGGACACCCGCAACACCAGAGGAGTCACAGGCGCGTTGCCGGCCTTTTAAAAAGGAGTACGCTCTTTTCTTGAAGGTTCTAATGGTGAAACCAGGCGACATGCTTCAGGTTGAATTTTCGATTGCATGCGAATCATAACATAGCTGGCGCATTTTGTGCATCCTATATAAAATGCATGTCAAAGTCTAAGTTATTTATTTCATTTAAACCATAATTTGGTACTTATAAAACGTAACGTTTGTAAAAAGAGTAACGGATAGAGTTTCTTGCTCGTTCTTCTCCATTTGAATCTACATTTTGGAATGAGCACCTAGCTTCACCTAGCTTCACTGACGGACTGACTGACAGATTATTATTTATTTTGTATTTGACGTTTCAAAATTACCAAATTATGGTGTAATTGAAATAAATGCTTTGACTTTGACGTAACCATGTACTAATAACATTCCACTTTTCGCTAGCCATGCTACAAGGTCCTATGTAACTGCCGTTTTCCTTTAAAGGTGTCTCCACTTTCTAAAAGGCGTTGTGTTCATATTATGTGTCTCTAGCCTGTAATACAGTTTCAATACACCCACCCTACAATATTATCCCCCAGCTGGGTGAATGGTTCTAAATGAGCCGTGTTCTACGCTATCGCTTTCAAACCAGTGGCCCGGATTGCCAGTTAATGTTATAATGGATCAATTTAAATACATAATAGACGAAAGGATCCAGGATGTTCAAGGGACTGGTGACGTATTATGGGTACATAGTGGTCGATTATTGGAATGTTTGATTGGAATACGATCTTCACAAAATAAGAATTTAGGCTTTAGAATGAATAGCTAACTAATAATGATCATTTACTTAGCCGTTTGGTGACATCAGAATAGTGTACATTTGTATTCATTTCTGTCCATGGGTGCTGTACAAGTCGACTTATAGACTGTGCATTTAATAGACATTATACATAACATCATGCCTTTTATCCCCGAAGGAGTAGGCAGAGGTGCACATTACGGCACTTAATGTCACTGTACAAATGTTCTCACTTTTCACTATTATGTTACGAGTCCCATGTAATAGAGGGTGAGCCTAGTGCTATATACCGGGCACAATTCCAAACTCCGTGCTACTACTGAGATTTAAAAAAAACCTAATAACAGTTTGTCCGACCCGGGAATCGAATCCGAGACCCCTTGCTCGGCAGTCGCAATTGCGATCAGTCGGCCAACGAGGCAGGCATTTAATAGAAACCGGGCTATAGTGCATTCTGATAAACCTGAATCTTTCTGATGAACCAAACCACTAGCATTGCATGGAGTTTATAACAATCCCTCTTATGTAGAGGAGCTTTATAGTGTGACACTGAACTGTAACCGTGCATTGACGTGATGTTAAGCCACCCAAAAATTGGTCAATCATGAAGAAAATTTGCTGTTCACATGTGAAAAATACCTATACCTGACAGTCAAATTCACAAAAGTTCACGACATTAGCTCTGAACCTGTGACCTCTAGATGGCCAATCTACACAGGCTATTGTCGCGATAACTTCACAACTTGAGTATGTAGGCTAGTGTTAATTACTGAGCTTAATTAAAACCATGCCTACCATACACAATACCATACCACTGCCTACGAACTAATTAAAATCAATGGATTAAGATAATTGGTTACCTATGAACTGATTGTGTGGTTGCTGACTCATCACTCTGATTAACATTAGATGCACAGATTTCACTGATAAGGTTCACAACGAATTTCAACATGATACGGACGTAAAGTGACAGTACACGTTTAAGTGTGGGAGAGTCATGCTTCGGCACGAATAGGTCGGCTCGACCGGAGTGATACCACGGCCTCACAAAAAACCGACGTGAAGCAATGCTTACATTGTGTTTCGTGTTTGTGTTTCGTCGTGTGACTGAGGTTAATGGAGGCCCAATTAACCTCCCCTTCCCCAATCTCCCCAATTCCTGAATCCCCGACGATCCTCAAACTCCTGAAGTCCTAATATCCAAAAGGCCGGTAACGCACTTGTAACGCCTTTGGTGTTCCAGGTGTCCATGGGCGACGCCGATTGCTTACCATCAGGTGATCCGTCTGCTCGTTTACCGGCTTATGCCATAAAAAAAATACAGTACAGTCGAACCAAAGACGTTAAAGAAGGCAGACATAATGTCACTTAGAAATGATTGAAGCACCAAAATGTCAGTGGTTTTTTATGTGTGCGTGTGTAATGGGTTACCACGTTCAGATGTCCTTCGTGTCAATGTGTGTATGTTCTTCGTGTAAGGCTATAGTAGCCAGGTGCCACAGTCGTTGTTTTAAGAGACTACGTCTACCTTTTTCAATGTCCTTGAGTCTAACTATCCAATGGATTTATGGATCTCATTCTTCGGTTCGATTTTATTTCATTATCTAATCTATAATAAAAATGAAACTTGAGAATGGTTACAGCGATTTGACAGATTTTTTTTTGTTTTGTTTATAATTGTCAGGAGAAGGTTCTTATGATAGAAAAAGGCCTGAAAATCTTACGGGAACGGGAGAAAATTGGATTGCGCGTACGAAGTCGCGTGCAGAAGCTAGTGGGTGATATTTCAAGTTGTTTTTATATTAAACTAGCGACCCGCCCCGGCTTCGCACGGGTGCAATATGCATGTATTATACATACAAACCTTCCTTAAGAATCACTCTATCTATTAAAAAAAACCGCATCAAAATCCGTTGCGTAGTTTTAAAGATCTAAGCATACATACGGACATACAGCGAAAGCGACTTTGTTTTTTACTATGTATTGAAGTTTGGGTAAATATATGCATTTTGCGTGAGATGTTTGTAACTACTAAGGAAAAGGAAAAAAAGGCCAATATAAATGTAGGGGATAGGAAAAAATACCACTCACATTGGTGTTTTTGTGATTCCCGGGTAAACTAAAGCGTAGGGTTTTTCGATTTGGAATTTTTGGCCATTGGAATCTTGATTTATTTCTGTAGGCGAATCCAATGGTGGTATTTTGGAATGT